GGTCCAGGGTGTCATTTGTAGGGACTACAAACTGAAATTTAGCACTCTGCCTTCTCCCCCCATTCATGCTTTTGAACTTGTCACCCCCCCCCCCCCCCCCCCCCCCCGCCAACAGTGGACAAATCTGATTGCTGCTATCCAACAGCTTTTGTGTGAGGAGCTTAGTGCACCTGTCATTACCCCTGTACCAACAGAAGAACGCTTTTAAGGTTTCAACTCCAGTCTTTTTTACAGTTCCCAAACTGAAAGGAGAGGTCCAGGCCATTCTGAGTCCGCAGATTCTAAAACATTTCCCACAAGTTTAAAAGTTCCACAAGGAAACTGTCAGGTCAGTCATTGCCTCGCACCTTCTGTGGCCTCAGACTTTAGGATCTTTATGTACACATTCCCATCTTTCTGTCCCATCAGCAGACTCTGTAGAGCTATGGCTGGATCCTCAGTCTATGGAAGTTATTGCTGAAGCCATCTCACAGATTTGAGTACCTGGAGGTGATGTTATACACAGCCCTTTCTAAAACTTTACTGTCTTTGAGACAAACTTCGGTCCCTTTGTCTCAGCCCAGGCCCTTTGGGCCTGGAGAAAGCCCTCGGTCCTTCCTGAATAAGGGTTTTGAGTTTAATGGTTGCCTCTTTGAGGCCGTTGTATGCCCAGACCACTCCAGACCATAGAAACTCAACATTCTGTCAGTGTAGGACAAACAGACTCCGTCCTTGGATTGTCCCATGCACTTGACCCCCTAAGGACTGTACTATCTGGCATATACAAATAAATTATACAGTACACAGGAGTGATCTGAGCAAACACCTGACAAAAGGTAACTTTTTTTTCCTCTCCTAAAAATTTATAAAGTTATCTGTCTGGAGTTCTGCTTTAATATAGTAGCAAATAACTTTTCAAAAACTGTTCCATTTTTATTGCTGTGTCAGACCCCAGCCACCTTCACCAACAGGGATTCTTAAAGTTCTGCATAGTGTAATGTACATATAAAGAGTATTAAAAAGGAAACAGACAACGCAACAAAAAAAGGGGTTTTAAAAGTGAAAATACTTAAAGTGGTTGTAAAGGTTCAAGGTTTTTTAACTTCATGCATTCTATACAGGAAGATAAAAAACCTGTGTGCAGCATCCCCCAGACCCCCCCCATACTTGACTAAGCCCCCTCTTGATCCTGCAGTGTGCACTGGAGTCTAGGCTAGCCTGGGACCCCCTCCTCATTGGCTGAGACAGAAGTGGCTTGAGACAGAGTGAGCTAATGAGAAGAGAGAAGGGGCGGGGCTGAGCCACGGCTCTGTGTGTGAATGGACAAGCTGCTTGCTGTGGGGTCACCTGACAGGAGGGAGTGGCCAGGAGAGCCAGCAGGGGACCCGGGAAGAGGAAGGATCTGGGATGGTCTGTGTAACACCACTGCACACCACATAGACATGTTTTTTATTTTTTTCTAAAAAAAAGCCTTTAGAATCACTTTAGCAAAGCCCTGACTCTGTGCGTTTGGCCAATCAATGAGCATTACATGGATCAGTGGCTCTCACAAATCTTAGCTGATGTTCCTTGCATAATGGTAAAAGAGAAAGCTCTAGACTACTAATAGTCTTCCTTTTCTGGTCATGGAGGAGGTTGTTGACAGAATTGATCTGTATAAGGAGAAGGTCTGAGGAGTGGCCAATCAGATGTCAGTCTTTACAATTATTGACTTTCCTTCTATTCCTAAACTCAGCTAAACTATCTGCAACTAAATGTTGCTAATCATTGTGTATTACTAACATGACTACTTTGCATTGTGTAAGTCCAGCTGCTTTTAGCAGTCTTCTAAACACAGCAAAACTCTGAAATGTAGACATTCGTGTGAATGTAGCCTCATACCCAGCACTTCGCAGAGTCCAAAGAACCATTTATATGAGTTGTTGCCCTGAAGTGGCTTATAGTCTATAGGCAGGCACAATCTATGGTTTATTTGGTCAAATACCAGCTGACCCATGAGTATGTTTTTGGATTGGGCAAGGACACTAGAACATCCATAGGAGACAAAGACTGGAAAACATTAAATTACTGTAGTGTCCTTAGTGGGATTCACTAAGTCCTAATGCAGCAATGCAGGAGTGCTCACCACTTACTTGTCCATGTCTCCTTTAAATCATACATGATTAGGAACTATTGGTAATAACACCACATCGGAGCCTTTATTACAAAATAGTCTAATATACATTAAATGAAAATATACACATGCTTATTTACTACTGCAGTACAGACAGCAGCTTTCCATACACTGATCTCAGTCTTCACTTTAGAGTAGTCTCGGTAATGAGCGACCATTGTAAACAGTACTGTAACCTTTTCCTGCCCTTAACGTATTCAGATCCTAAACTGAACCAGCTACTTCTCACAACTACAAAACTGTCTCTTTTGGGCTTAAAGTCTCATATCTATTCTATCACATATTCTACATAATTGTTGAATATTCAGTAAAAAAAAAAGGACTGTTTTCATTCAGGTGACTTTTTTAAATGGTTTCGAGCTAAGTTCAGTAGCACATAATTTGCTAGTCTTTTGTTTGTTTTCCTGTAAAGAATTGGCAGAAAAATAGGTGTATGAGAACATCTGATTTTCTTATTGCAGTCTTCTATGAGGCTTTAACTTACCAGATAGTTGTGTTTGATCAGTCCAAGGCTTGAGAGAAGCAGAACATTAGAAAATATTGGAAATCCAAATGGCAGCTGCAGACTTCTGGGTATTGGCATGGTTTGGGTCTTGTGGTGGCAGTGAAGTCTTCTGACGAGTGAAGAAGGCACTGGGTTATGTTCAGTCTATGTAGTCCAGCCCCTGTTATCTGAAAGTCCTCCCTGACTGTGAATGCATTGAGTTTCACTTTCCTGTTCCTGACTGGAGTTGGGATTTACCTCTCTGGTCCTCCCCTCTATTTCACAGCAGAGTTCTGTAATGTCTCATGACAGTCATGTCTCATCTTTATTATGTATTATATATGTTTTTTATGTGTATCTAATGTGATATACATATTATTATTATTATTATTATTATTATTATATATATATCCCTCTAGTATTGAACTGTATTGTTGCTGTATTGTCTCCCTTTATACTGTAAAGCACTGAGCAAACTATTGGTGCTATAGAAATCCTGCAGTATAATAATAATAATAATAATAATAATAAATAAATAAAAATTAATATATATAGGTTTGCATTGAATTTTCAGATGGGTTATAAAAGAATTTAAATAATGGCACTGTTCCCTTGGATGTGAAAAATACTCTCTAACAGGGCAAGCAAAATAGAGGGCATTTTTATTTTACTTTGCACTTTATTTCTCTAAGCACATAACTTTTACCAGAATATGTAGCAGTCACAGCAGCTGCTAGATTAATGATTAGAGAGAAATGATGATAAACCTTCTATGCTTGTCACAAAATTTCAGAAGTAATAACTGGTTATATTGCTGACAGTAGGTTTTTTTTTTATTTATATCTTCTGTCACCAATGAAAAAATTTGTTTTTTTTTGGGGTGGGGGGGTTTCAGCATAGCAGTTAAGCATATGAAAAAGCTACTACAGCACCACCTGCTGGTTGTAAATGAAAATAAAAAATAGCCATATGCATATTTACCTGGCTAATCATAAAAAAAGAAGGAATATTATGCAATATATACTTTTTGTATTGACTATGAAGAATATATACCAACCCACTTTTACATTAGCTTTAAACCAATAAATGAATACCTGTAAATATATATTCAGCAACTTTAGAACCCTTATAGTGTTCTATTTGAGTGAAGAGGGGATTGGTTACAATGCACCATGTCCAATTTGCATCAAAGTAGAGCAGTGTTTCTCAACTCCAGTCCTCATGGACCCCCAACAGGTCATGTTTTCAGGATTTCCATTATTTTGCACAGGTGATTTGATCAGTTTCACTGCCTTAGTAATTACCACAGCTGTTTCATCTGAGGGAAATCCTGAAAACATGACCTGTTGGGGGTCCATGAGGACTGGAGTTGAGAAACACTGAAGTAGAGGAATATCTCAATCCTGAAAATGTGGGGGAAGAGAAACTGACACTCTGGACTTTATTGGTGCGCACAGACAACAGACTAAAATATTTTGTTACCAATTTTTAGTAACAAATCTTAGTTTAAAATACATAAATGTATTACAGTTAAAATACTAAAAAAAAAACCCTATTTCTTGAGAGAGAACTCCCCAATGGCTTAGAAATTCCGTAGATGGTATTGGGGGCTCCTTGTTAACCTTGTGGCTGCCTCTACATGTTTCAAGGGGACAAAGCCCCCTTCTTCAGGAGACACCAAAGTTCAATTCTAAGAGTAGCAGATTCCATATGATCAAGAACCCTGTGGGGGAAAAAAAGGCAGGTGGGGTGGACATCCAACAATAAGAATCTCTTGGGGTGAGCACAGAGACCCTCAACAGGAACAGCTATGTTAGGGATCATATATGCTGTCAATGCCCATGGAGGCAGGGGAGCAAACCCAGTTCAGCATTTGGTAGTCTAGTACATACTGGAATGACAAGATAGTGGAAAGTTTCTCAGGTGATTTGTTTAGCAAACCATCCAATTTAATCAAGAAATATACTGTACGTTCTCTTTTCAACATATTCAATCAGGATATAACCCAATTTACTTTCTGCCTACGAATGGTCCATATAAAGAGAGACTGTCCCCTGTCACCCCTCTTATGCACCTTTTGGAAACCTTTATATTGAGCTCATTTGAAAATGACATTTCTGCAATAGGCAATGATGTGCAGTAACTAGTAGCCACCAAATGTTACCTTTTTTAATCAGGTTAGAACAGTCAAATCAATGAGATTATTTCTGGTTGCTATGGTTTACTGTGCATTGCTCTTTGTCTTATTTCAGCTATTTGTAGTTTATGATTTACACATTATAACAACTAATTGCACAGTTTTTAATACAGAAGAGGTCTGATTTTGTATTTTTTACTTATGATTTATTTTTTTCCCTCCCGCAGCTTGTTCCAAGTTTCTGCACCTTCTTGCACCAGATTGCACAGCAGGAAGGCGCTTCTTCACTCCACAATGAACTACTTAGCCTACAGATCTCAAATGGAAGTTCTTTCAACAGCCATGATATACCTTGCTTAATGGATTTTGATCTGAATGATTTCCCCAACTTGTTTTAACTCAGCAAAAACAAGATTTTCTGGACCAGAAAACTGAAGTCACCAAGTCAAACAGCTGTCAAACTGTTGTAGTTTGCTGTGTTACTTTTACAAACATTCCCAAACTACAGATCCAATGGTCCTGTAGTGTTTTATAACGTGAATTTTGAGTAGGTATGTGCCTATCTTTCATGTTAAAGAATACGGTTTACGACACATATATTAGGCCTTTGAAATATTTGTGTCTATTTACAGTGTAATCAGGCTACGATCGGTGGAAGACTACGTTATTATTGGGCACTTATTCTGCCAGAATTTGTTGCATTCAGTACATTGGCTTACTCCTGTCTAGATACTGAAATATTGTGAATCAGTTGGCTATCATCAGTGTATCCATATCTTGCCACTATTGGAGAGTACCTGTTGGACATATGCACTGTAACATCAGCTATTCTAAAGGCTGACAATGTCTCCAATTAGGAGGCTGTGGTTTTAGGCCATGCACTAAAGAGGCATGGTATTTTCTATGTTTCACTAAGTTAATTGCTATCCAAGTTATCTTATTGGAAAGTATAGCTTGATAGTCTGTGCGGCAACAGTTAAACTATTTATCTCAATCCTGTAAACGTTCTCTTTAATGGTGGACCTATGACTAATGTCTCGTGTACCACATGAAGGAATTACAGAGAATATTTCAAGCACACATTAATTTTAAGTAGTGTTTATATGTGTGGATTTTAAAGACGTGTTCAGTTTCTATCTCTGCATTTATTCCAAAAAGGAGTAAATCCAGGATGTGCTGAATTGCATTTATTTGCATTGACTTCACAGTCAGAGCATTGTAGAAACTGCAGATACTAACTGGCCTAATAGTTATTTGTGTTTATTAGCAATAAGACTCTTTAGGTACAGATGTAGAACTGCATTTTGGGGAATGATGTAGATGTACCTTTGCGGTCATTTAACCTTTTTATTTTGCAAATCTTCTTTGTAGAGTGGATTATGCTGTCTTCAAATCTATTCAGTAAGACTGGCTTTGTGTAGAGGTAAATACTTAAAGGCAAGGTGCCTGTCAACCAGTGAAGTTGCTATTTCTATGTATCTCTAATATTATAAGAAATGGGATTATCACATATTTCAAAACTCCCCAATATATATAGGTCGGATGGGGGCTTCTAAAATTTGTTCAATGACAGTCAATGAAGTCAGGATGAAACTGATCTTGGGAATTCAATGTTTTAGCCTCATTACCACTAATTTATGCAGAAGTAAACCCATTGCCACAATCTCAGTTTAGGCAAGAATTGTGTAACATGAATGTCTGCATGTGATTGTGACGCACAGAATATTTTAGTAGATATGACTTCTCAATATTACAGGCAGCAAAAAATATATATTTATAAAAAAGTAAATATCACTTTAATATCTGTTATAAATGATCAGAGGTGGACTTTTTATTGTCACATTGGGGTTTATTTACTAAAGCTGGAGAGTGCAAAATCAGGTTCACTTCTGCATAGAAACCAATCAGCTTCTAACCTCAGCTTGTTCAATTAAACTTTGGCAATAAAACCTGGATGCGGACTGGTTTCTATACAGAAGTGAGCCTGATTTTGCACTCTACAGCTTTAGTAAATAAACCCCATTGTGACATCCTGTTCTTCCATTATATAATTAAAGTAGTAGGACTGAAAAAAGTATGTTAAAGTAATGTATTGCATATGTATATAGATAATTAGGTTAAAGCCAGATGACAATCTGGTATGACCTCTGATGAATTCCTACAGATTTGTCCAGACGAACTCAAAACAGCCCTCTGTTCCTGGGAAACTTTGGCCGGCTTTGTCTCTGGGTTGGGGGGGGGAAGACACCTTCTTGATCTGCTAAAGTGTTTAAAATAAGCTCACTGGGTAAAAAACTACCTAATTCTTCGTAATTAAAACTTTAGATCATTAAAGAAAATTTTCAAACCTCTTTTAAATGTGTGTATATATACCAATTTACTGTTAGTTCTGTTGTGAAATATTTCACAGCTGACTATACTGATGGTAAAATATTCCCACCTAAATCCAAATCGATGTCCCTTTGGCTTTGGGACATCAATTTAATCTGCCTAATCCAAATACCAACCCTACTTTACCTTACACAAGTACATGTTTTCCTTCATATGTTAATGCCATCAAAATATACCTAATCAATACTAGCCGGTATAGCCAATGCATACCTGGATAACAGGAGATTAGACTGTTGTTTTAGATATAGTCACTACTTGAGGGCTTTTCAGATGGTGTTAATGCATGGCTTTTCATTTTACACAGTATACTTCTGCTGGTCAGTATGTATGGTTGTAGAGTGGCAAGAATGGACACACCCACAAGCGTGACATCACCTGGAACGTAAAACTGCGTCACTTATTCAGTAAAGCAGTGCAAAGACATGCAGTTTACATGACAAGTAATCTGCATTAATTCATGGCAGGCAATCAAATATCATAGCTCAGTCAAATGAAATCTGATTTATCTGATGGATTGGGTCAGTGTTCTTTGCACTGGCTTACTGAATAAGCGTATGGTAGGCTTATTATATTGGGTGATTTCACAGAATGGGTCTGTTCATTGAATCTGATCGGAGCAAATTAAGCTCACAAAGTTTATAAATAAAGCTATATCATATTTTATATCTATATTTTTGTATTTTTACTAAATGTGTGTTGCTTGTGTATGTGGAATGATATCCAATAACATGGAAATAAGACATTTTATTGTAAATTGTTTAAATAAAGAACATTTAATTACAGTGCATGATTTCACTTGGATAATTGTATTCTTGTATTCTTTTTCCATGTGTCCTATAAATATAACATAAAATATTAGAGAAGAAAATATCAGTGTATTGCTTTTATTAAATAAAAGTTAAAGCGGCGTTCCAATCTGTTTTGTGTATATTAAAAGTCAGCAGCTACAAAAACTCTGCCTCTTCTCTCCCTGGTGCCAGCATCACAACTGTGGGCACTCAGCTGTGACAGCTTGCGGCTTCATAGCTGGGTGCCCACTGCGCATGCACGAGTCGTACTGCACATTCTCATTGGTCTGGCAGTCTTCTGAGACCTATGAAGGTACCAAGGAGACTGCGGGAGAAAAGAGCTGGCCGAACTTCCGGCTCACTTCTCCACAGCGAACTGAGCCGGAAGTGGCAGTGGGTTCCTGTCAAAAACAGGTATCCGCACCCCCCTCCCTCCCAAAAGGTGCCCAATATGGCCGTGGGGGGGCAAAAATGCCATGCTTCCGCTTTTGAGTGGAACTCTGCTTTAATTTTTTTCTTTTTGGTACACTTTTTTAAAAACTATAATAATAAGTGCCAACAGATTAGCTAGTTCTATGGAGATGGACCCTTTTCTTGATGCTCGGGAACTGAATTACACTTGCCTGCCTTAGTTCAAGAACTAGAATGCAAAGTCCATAATGAGTCCTCCTATTCCTGTCATGACAGTCATATGGTTCATATATAAATAAGGTATTGACTGGTAACAGTAATATAGGCAATGTTTCAGCTGTTAGACACACTGGAGAAGGCTTCTGTCATTTGGAAACATGAGTGATGGTGTGTATCATGAGCAGTATGGATGTGCTTAGTTTTTCACATATGGTTTCTTCATGTGGGATTCTTTAATTGCATAAATAAGCCATCTCACTTCCACTGATCTTCATCTTCACAATGCTTCGCAGATACTCTATTTGTCTGTTGAAGTTCTTGAAAATACTTGGTACTTCTGCGTATGGGGGAACATGTGATCTTTTCCCCTAACTCCCAGTATGCAGTGCTTGAGCCTGAGCAGTCAAAATTCAGGTCTAAACACTGACATGGGGGAAGGAGAGCAGTTTATTAACCCTGTCTGTGCTCTAAAACTGAGTTGCACTGAGCTTAAACAGGGATTTGATCTATAGCTCCAGCACAGGAACATATCACTGGAGGAGAGGTGAAATGGTGGCATGTGAAAAGAACCTGGTACTTCATCCTCAATTAGTGAGTGTTTATGTATAATATATATGTAGCCTTTATGACCTCCCCAACTCTATGACCACCCATATAGGGAATAGGTCCCCAAAACAACTCTGACCCATCAAGGTATGGCTGTCACTAGGCTTCTGAAGGTATGCTGTGGTATCTGGCAATAAGCTGTTAGTAGCAGAAACTTTTAAAACCTAGGAGGGAGCTAAACAGATCGGACTTGTTTTTCCAGCACTTCCCACAGATGCTCAATTGGACTGAGATCTGGAGAATTTAGAAGCAAAGTCAACACCTTGAACTCGTTGTTGTGCTTCTCAAACCATTCTTGAACCATTTTTGCAGTGTGACAAGGCACATTATCCTGCTGAAAGAAATACCGTGTCCATTAAGGGGTGTATGTTTAGGTAGGTGGTATGTGTAAAGTAATATCTGCATGGTAGGCAGGACCCAATGTTTCCCAGCAGAACATTGCCCAAATCATCACACTGCCTCCGCAGGCTTCCCATACTGCGTCCTTGTGTCATCTCTTCCCCAGATAAGTGATGCATATGCGCCTGGCTATCTACATGATGCAAAAGAAAATATGATTCATCAGACCATGTAGCCCCATACACAACAAATGGCAATGGCCATTTTTCCTGCTTTCAATACCTCAACTTCAGGGACAACATGTTTACTTGCTGTCTAATGTATCCCACTGACTCTCAGAAGCCATTGTAATGAGATAATTGATGTTACTCATTTAACCTGTCAGTGGTCATAAAGTTATGACTGAATGTGTGTGTGTACATACTGTATGTATGTACTCTTTGTGTGTGTGTGTGTGTGTATATATATATATATATATATATATATATATATATATATATATATCTACAGTATATCATATTTGATTCTTTTTGAAATTCACTGACCTGGTTTATAGGAATGTAGCAATCAGTTTTCTTTACATTACTAGTGAGATACAACAGAGGCTACCCCATAATTGGTGATATGGATATTTGGTGGCACAT